CACACACACACACACACACACACACACACACACACACACACACACAAACAAACAAACAAACAAACCTATAAAGTGTTTTGACATCAAGTACTGAAAAGCAACTTTTCTCTCCTTTTACATTTTAACTGTTGCCTCAGGTTTAAAGTCATGGTAAAAATATTTTGTAATTTAGATAGAATGATAAAGGATCTTCAGGAGAAAAGAAAGCCTATTTTTATGAAAATAAGAGTATGACTGTCTTGTTGACTTAGAAATATCTAAATACATTATTTCCATCATTTTGATAAATCTTGGAGTAAATAGACATTTTTACTCTGCTAATTGTCTTTGTCCCCTGGTTGTATAGAAAAACTTTTTACATTTTAAACTTTCCCAGCTACTTATTACTTAAAAAATCAAGCTCACATTAAAGAACTTATTTTTACATGTTAATCATTTGGAAATAAGTAAATAATTAAAATAATGTTGATTTTATATTCACATTGAAAGGTCTTTTCATCCTTCAGTACATAGTTTATATTGTATTTTGTATTTTCTTTATTCTTTATAAGTGGTTTTACATATCTGTGCACAGTGACTTCCACTGTGAGTTTATATTAGAATTTACAATTAAGTAGAGGCTTCTAACATCCCAAAGTGAAATGTCATACAAACTTTTAGTAGCTGTTTCATTTTAATTTGAGATTTTATGTGTACCTTAGGAAATCGCCCTTATGTTTTCTTATCTGCTCGGGTACATCCTGGAGAAACTAATGCAAGTTGGGTTATGAAAGGAACATTGGAGTATCTCATGAGTAATAACCCTACTGCTCAGAGCTTACGAGAATCCTATATTTTTAAAATTGTCCCTATGCTAAATCCAGATGGTGTCATCAATGGAAAGTAAGTTAAGCAATAGTTATAGAAATATCATACAACATTGGGCTGGTCATATGTAAACTTGTTGAAATAGTGTCCAAGTTAATACAGAAAAGAAAACTAGTGTTTGTTCTAGAACAAAGGAATTCTTGGTGGGGAATTTATTGAAGATAGCTTTTAAATTATATTTTGCATCTAGTAGTAGTATATACTTAAAAATTTTGGTATCTATTGATTCCATAAAATCAGAGTATCTTGCATTGTTTTAGAAAATCAGTGTCAGGACTTGTGACACTTAAAACATATTTTCTTTCTATTCATCTACCTTACCTGAATTGTCTGTATGTCTTTTTGCCTATCCTCCTTCTTTCCTTCCTCTTTCCTTTCTTCCCTCCTTTCTTCCTTCTCCTCTTCCTTTCCATTGTATGATTTTAAATTATCTGAGATCTCTTTCCATTGCGATGGAGTATTAGGCCCATTTGATCACAGAAGAATTCTTTAGATTGGAAATCCTAGAAGATAATTTTTTAGTGAAGGTGGCTTATATTCCATACAATAGGTTTATTTCATCATTTTGACTAAAATAATTGCTGAAGTGTTTTTGAAACATCTCCAAAGATAGTGCTAACACAACTTATTTATTAGTAGTAGTGTGAATAGTTCTCAAATTTTAGGAAATAATTGAATTTTTTTTAATCTAGAAGAATTTTAATTAATATATTATAGAACTAAAATATAACTTTTTAATTGAGATTGATTGAAATTCATTTATATTTCTGTTACAATTTTCTGGTTGCTAAGTTTTGCTTGATGGCTTAAATACGTAATGCCCATGAATAAATGAAAATGTATTTATGTTTTTATAAGAATACATACTTTCATAAGAATATATACTTTCTCAGAAGATGGACTCATTAGCACTTTTACAAACTACTACAATCAAGATATAGAGTAGTGTTAGAGGAAATGATTTATTATTCTAATACATTTTATGAAATATTGGGAATTAATTTTTTCCATTACTTGAGTTTTTTGTTTAAAAAAGAATAGTACCACTATATATGAATTTATAGGTAACCTAAGATCTTATATATAACAAATGCTCAATAAATATTTATTAGGTAAACAATATAATGTATTCAGTTGAGCCCTCTATTTATACCATTTGAGTACTTATGGAATAGAATCATAAGGTTAAATCAGAAATGCATATAGGTATACTGGTACCATTGTTTTGTATCTTTGTGTTTGTGTATGTGTAGTCATCGTTGTTCTTTAAGTGGAGAGGATTTGAACAGACAGTGGCAAAGTCCACATCCAGACTTACATCCTACAATTTACCATGCAAAGGGGCTCCTACAATACTTGGCTGCAGTGAAACGCTTGCCTCTGGTAGGTGGCAATATTTGTTTTTATTTTATATAGTCCAAATGATTTCATTTTGATTAGTGGCTAGTCAGTTGATTTAATTAGTGACTAAGTATTTTAATGTATGATTTTCTGGTTCTAAAATTTAAGTGTTAATCATTTCAACAGCAATTCTTTACAATATCTTTTCTATTTTAAAAAATTGTAGTATATTAGTGTAATATATTCTATCCGCTTTATGTTTATAATTCTTATAAACCTTTTTTTTAATCTGAGGATATTGGTAGCTCCTAGTTGTAAGCTTTAGATATTTAACTTCATTGTTTGAATGGTCTAGTACAAGCTTATTTCTGACATTTTTCATTAACTCTGAAACTGATGTCTTCAATTCACACATGTGAGGTGCAGCAGTCATAGTGTGAAGCTGTGCTGGGTTATGAATATGTTTTTTCTCTTTTCAGCTTAGATTAGAATGGTCTTATGTTATGGGCTTGTGTTTAAAGTATTTAATTTTCCATTGGGAAAGAGAAACACCTGGCAGGAAGGGAGAAATAAACTGATATTTGAATCATTTTTCATCTTAAAAAAACTAAACTAAAATGTTTAAAAAAATTTTAATGAAAGCATCTATAACATATTTTAAATGGTAAGTAGTATATGCAAAAGAAACAGTGACACTTGGGGCTTGATATAAAACTTCCAAAGGATTTTCCTAAATCCTTCTAGAATTAATTATAGAACCTTTATAAGCAAAGTTATTATATGATGACTCTTTTACAGTGAAAAGACCAAGGGACATGTTCAGTCATTGGTTTCATATTAACCGCCTTTGTTTGGCAACTTCTGAATTTATAGGTTTTAATTTCTACACTTTATCTTCCAAGGTATATTGTGATTATCATGGCCATTCCCGAAAGAAGAATGTGTTTATGTATGGCTGCAGTATCAAGGAGACAGTGTGGCATACTAACGATAGTGCAAGTTCATGTGATGTTGTGGAAGACATGGGATATAGGGTAATTATTACAGATGATTTTTGAGTCTTTGAATTTCAAATATGCATAGAGTACAAAATATAATGCAATATAAACTTCAGATTCAAAAAAGGTTGACATCTTGCCATTTTGTTACAGATTTTTTGTTTTTCAAAATGAAATTAAAAAAATGGATTTACTTCTTAATGTAATTTTATTGTAAAGATGCTCAATTTTATAAGTGACCTGGCAATCACATCTTGCTTTCCTATGGATACCAGTTGTCTTAGAAATCTTTACTATATAGTACATCCTTCCTCTGTCGATTTAATAAGCCATTGTTACATGCTGTGTTCTACATGTATGGGTATGTCATTTTCATTCTTGTTTCTTTTCTTTTTGCAGATCACATTGTCTTAATTATGGTAAATTTAGAATTAGTATTGATATCTGGTAGGGCAGATTTTCGTGTGTGTGTGTGTGTGTGTGTGTGTTGTCCTAGGGTTTGAACTTAGAGCCTGAGTTCTGTGTGTGTGCGTGTGCGTGTGTGCGTGTTGTCCTAGGGTTTGAACTTAGAGCCTGGGTCGTGTGTGTGTGTGTGTGTGTGTGTGTGTGTGTGTGTGTGTGTGTGTGTTGTCCTAAGGTTTGAACTTAGTGCCTGGGTCCCTGAGCATTTTTTGTTCAAGGATAGTGCTTTACCACTTGAGCTACAGTTCTACTTCTGGTTTGTTTATTTTTTTAGTATTTTAGTGGGGATATGATCCTCAGATCTCAACTTCTTGAATAACTAAGATTACAGGTGTGACCACCAATGCCTGGCTTTCCTTTTATGTTCCTTTAAAAAAATCCCATTTTGCCTTTTTTCTTCCTAATAAAGTTTAAGATCAGTTTGTGGATAAACTGTTGGGATTTGGGTCAGTTAAGTTTGAGAGAATTGATTGTGAGATCAATTAAATATGAGAAAATTATTATGATGATAATGGTAATATATGACTCTGGGTTTTTTTTTTTTT